GTGTACCTGTGTTTATTCTCTATGCTTGCATCCCCCTACCTCTTTTGCCCATCGCTTCTTACTTTCCTCCTCCAGCTCCCTTCACACTTTATTTAGGTTCCGCTTCCTTATACTCTTTGCCACAGAAAGAGGCTTTCCCTGGCTCCCTTCCACATCATAGACATCACAGTCAACCACATCAAACACAGCACACTTCCTTAGCCCAAACAGCACCAACATGCCATCACTGCAGGAAAAACAAAAGGATTCAAAACAGCAGAGCCCATCGGATCAGGAAGAACTGTAACAGAATTTCAGCTCTCTGATTCTTGATGGGCTTTCTTCCCTTTTGGTAGACTTTCAGGGATTTGTTTAGTCGAATTCAGCATGCATACGATATAGGTTATTTTATAAACATTTAGCTCTTCTGTGACAGCAGTCTAAATATGTCACAATGCAAAATCCCCTCCCAAGTAATCACGATGGGGATACCTTATGTACTTAATGAGTGAGGCTCTCACCATGCCTATTCTAATTTCTATCATCTGCCTTTGGGGTATGTTACACAGACATTTTTTTTTTTTTTTCTTTTACAGTTCGTTCCTTCTTGGCTACAGTTGTATGAATTGAAGAGTAGGACACAGAAAAATGAGGCTGTTCTTCATGCCCATTCCATTATTTGCCCCGTTATTTCCAGGGAATGCACTAACTATAATTTTCAGGTTCTTTTTTTAATTGACATGGCATGTTACTTTCAGGTGTACAATGATTCAATATTTGTACACCGATTTTAGTATATGTGCTGCCAAAACCAGCACAATTTTCAGCTTCTTGACTTTACCATGTTGGTTATTTTATTTTATTTATTTTTTTTTGTAAAGATTTTATTTATTTATTTGAGACAGAATGAGAGAGAGAGAGAGCGCACATGAGAGGGGGGAGGGTCAGAGGGAGAAGCAGGCTCCCTGCCGAGCAGGGAGCCTGATGCAGGACTCAATCCAGGGACTCCAGGATCATGACCTAAGCCGAAGGCAGTTGCTTAACCAACTGAGCCATCCAGGCGCCCCATGTTGGTTATTTTAATAATTTTAATTTTCTTACCTAAATGAAGGAACTGAGAGACACAAAACCAAATCCTTCCATTATCATGTACTTGGTCAAGGACAGGACCAAAAAAATCCTAATTTTAAGTTACTTCAGTTTGTTGTCCTCAATATTTTCTAGTATAAAATCATTAGAACAAAAGAAAGGATTCAGGACTAATTGTGTGAGCTTGGACAACTTACTTTCTATGCTTCAGTTCCCACAAGAACATAGAACATTGAAATTCATATTTCATCCCTTGAGTTACATATTATGTTTGATATTTTAATTCTTTCCTTAAAAATTAAAAAGAAAAAAATACCAGGGCACCTCTGTGGCTCAGTCAGTTAAGCGTCCAACTGTTTCTTTCGGCTCAGGTCATCATCTCAGAGTCATGAGATTGAGCCCCACATTGGGGTCGGCCACACTGGGCATGGAGCCTGCTTAAGATTCTCTCCCTCTCTCTCTGCCCCTCTCTGCCCCTTCCCTGCTCACGCTCTCTCTCTCTCTTAAAAAAAAAAAAAAGTAAAGAAAATTTTTAAAAATTAAAAAAATTTAGAAGTAAAAAATAAAAATACCTACAAATCTAGAAATGTTATGATTTCTGCCTATAATATTTGTTTGATAAACTCACGGTTTTCAAATTTATTTACTATTTTTATTAGGTCTCAGACCTCTTCTCTGCTACTACTTTTCTTTCTTGAATACATCCATCATAAACTCCTTCAGTTAAGATTTGGCAGGTGGTAAAGTTTTGACTTTCTGAAAATGTCTTAGTTCATTCCTATATTACTGTGAGAAAGATGTGCAAGATGCACAATTTCAGGCTATTATGTTCTCTCAGAACTTTGAAGAAAGTGATTCTACTGTGTTCTGATGCCCTTTATATTAGACAGTTCTGCTCTCAGACTGACCTGTGTTCTCTGAAATTTCCTTTTTCTTTGGCTGACTGTAAGATTTTTTTTTTTAATATGGTGTTGTGTAGTTTTGCTATTTTGTGTCTATGTGTAAATTTTTTTTTTCTTTACTCTGCTTCTCCTCAGTTTATATCCCCTATCCTCTACTAAAACTATGATTATATTATATTGGATCTTTCTTATATTTTTAAAAAATCTTTTACATCTTCCTGTTTCTCATCTATGCCACATTCTGGGTAATTTCTTCACATTCTCTGCTCCCCAGTTTACTATTTCTCCCTCCAGGAGTCTATTATTCCATTTAACCTATAGTATTTCCTTGATTACATTTCCAGAAGTTATATTTAGCTGCTCTGCAATTACGTCTTCTCTCTGCCCCTCTCCGCCCCTCCCCTGCTCACGCTCTCTCTCTCTCTCTACTGTTACTTTTTATGACGTATTTTTCTTTAAATATTTGTATATTTTAGAATTAAAGTATGTAAATATTTTAGCATTTAAATATCTCAACCATTTTAGAGATCTGTAAAATTGCTTTTGTTTGTTGTTTGTTTCTATCTCATGGTGTTTAGTGATCTTGGTTGTAAGCTGCAAATTTGTTTGAAGTCTCATGGCCCTTAAATGGTGGTGCTTTCCATCTTGATGGAGTCCCAGATGAGTCTCCGTATTACTGAGGTAATCTGCATTTGCCCTCAGGGCCACCCAGTTTAAGTATTTGCCCACATTGTCCTGTTCTTGGCCCTGACTGAAACCACAATCCTACTTCTCAGGTCATTAATAACTGCTAAGTTATAAGGCTTAATGAACATTACCAAAGAGCAGAGAGGACCAGATAAGTCTTTGGAAAACCAAATTATTTTTAATGGTGACTGTCAATGATGCAATCCTGACAGTATCATACTTTCTGGAGGAAGATTTAAGTGAAGTTAGCACTTAAATGATTCCAAGGAAGAGTCACCAACATAAAGTAGATGATCAAAGGGGAAAGAAAGTACTAAATTTTCTAGAGGTAAGAAACAACAGAAGAGTTGTACTTCCTCTAAAATGAAAAGTTTATATTTCAAGGTGGTGTCCTGAAATATTAGTGGAATGAACGTGAGTACCATTTCTCTAACCCTCATAGACTCGTCGCCATTTTGAGGACTTCTGCTTCTGGCTATGATGTGGTAGTTTATAATAAATCCATGCTTCTTCAAGAAGAAGAAGAAAAGTTGACTTAAAAAAAAAGCTTTCAAGGCAAAACAATTCAGAGGGACTAGGTTCCCAGAGAGAGCAGAAATAAGATACCCCCAAAAGGGTGAGCCAAAGTCCTATGAACTGTTCTTCCCTTCACAGTATTATTTACTGACCATTATTAGCATGGAGCAAAAGGCTAAGAATCTAGGCAGAAGGATGCAGCTATTAGGGAAGCAAGTCAGCAGAAATTTTAGCAATGTCACGAGGCTAATGACACAAAAACTGGAGTTTGGGACTGCCGCCATGGTAGCCAGAACATGAATAACTAACAGCCCAGTGAGAAGGGGGTGGTTTTTCCCTGGAGCCATTTGGAAAATTCTTAAGCTGTATAAAGGCAGAAGATTAAGAACATAAGCAGGAAGCTACTGAAAATCTCATTAGAGTTTTCTACACTGCTCAGAGGTAAAAACTTCGAGTCAGAACATTCCAAGAAGAAGAAGTCATAATAAATACCCCAGACTCTCACGTGAGATTCTAGGAGGGGGCAATCTGGCAACAGAATCAGACAAAAACTATATTCCAGTTTTTTTTTTTTAAAGATTTTATTTATTTGACAGAGAGAGATACAGCGAGAGAGGGAACACAAGCAGGGGGAGTGGGAGAGGGAGAAGCAGGCTTCCCGTGGAGCGGGAGCCCGATGCGGGGCTCGATCCCAGGACCCTGGGATCATGATCTGAGCCGAAGGCAGACGCTTAACGACTGAGCCACCCAGGCGCCCCAAACTATATTCTAGTTTTGAGTCAGCACAGATTCTGATTAAATGAAGTATTCTTTATCTAAATCATTCACTTTCTACCTGAAATTTTACTGCTCTTAATTTTGATATCGATATTTAGATATTGATCTAAATCTATCAAAGAAATCTATATAAATCTAGAAAGATCCCAGATATCATCCCAGATGGGAGAAATCACATCAAATTTCATTTTGTAGCAAACTTTAAGGCAAGGAAAACCTCCTGCCCACTGTAATGGTGGGTCTTTTGGTTGTTGACCTGTGGGCTTTTCCAAAGGGCTCTCAAAGATCCTGAACTGTATTTTCTCCAAATTTAAATACCTCTTCCTTTCAGTATATATATATATATACACACACACACACACTATATATATATATAGCCTTCACACTTCAGTGTGTATATATATATATACACTGAAGGCTTGGAATCATTTAAGTGCTAACTTCGCTTAAATCTTCCTCCAGAAAGTATGATACTGTTAGGACTGCATCATTGACAGTCACCATTAAAAATAATTTGGTTTTCCAAAGACTTATCTGGTCTTCTCTGCTCTTTGGTAATGTTCATTAAGCCTTATATGTGTGTGTGTGTATATATACACACACATATATATATATGAGGGGGTGAGTGGCATAAAGAGTTGCTTTGAAAAAACTAGTAAATTAGAGTAAATGAAGCATTCCCTTGAACTCCTGAAAGATAATTTTAACAAACACTAAAAATAAAACTGAAATTTGGGAAGTACATCATTAGCTTTTACATTATAAGATGATGCTTCCAGAGGTTATCATAAATGGTGACACTGATTTCCTACTCATCCAGTAAGTTTAAGACAGGGTATCTAGCATAGCAAACTTGAAAGAATCTATATCATCACATAAAGTGGAAATTTAAGGAACTAATTAGTTATTGAGGCTTTTTCTTCTTAGAACAGTCAAACCAAACACATCCAAGTATGGATCCTCAGAATCTTGTTTCACCACTTAAGATTTAGTTTATTCCATGACTACACACTCAGTGAGTATGAACTCTTTACCCAACATATTACTAACCTGGTCGATTTGGCTTTTTTGAGTTTACATGGTTAGCTGCAGAAACAGCATAGGATGAAGTGAAGGATCTGCTTTTGGTGAGGGTCATCATCACTGGGTTATTCCAAGAATCAGGACTAACAGCACTATAAAGACAGAGCATAAAGAAAAATGAAGAAATTATTCATCAGTTATTGGGATAGATCTTGCCAGAATGCAATCACCATTTCCATAATCGGTTTGCCAATCTGAGTCACGGTCCAGGTTCAGTGACAGGACCACTTTACTTCCAAATGAAAGAATAAGTTATCTGAGCTCAGTTTCTGCTGCAGGGAGACAAGTTAGGCCTCAAACATACTGGGTTGATAAAAGAGGAAAGAACTTTCCTATTTATCCAGTTAGTAGGAACCAGACAATTCTTACTGTATTACTGTAATCATGTTCCTCAAAGATCTTCTAAACCTTGATAAATGTATTAGTTAAGATGCAGGGGAACCTACATTAGTTATGAATGTCATGATGCTCCCTTTATGCTCTTTACTATTTATTATTCTTGTTGTATCTAAGTTAAAAAATTAAGTGCTTATGAAATATTCAAAGACAATATTCTTTGCAGTATTTTCTTATGAAGGAAGGGTTAGCAATAGGCTTTTAGCCTACAATTTCTTTTACTGGCAATACCCTGGAAAGAAAGGGATGATGAGCCAAATCCCCTTGTAGATATGCTATTGATGGACCCTGCTGATAAACACACTGATACTATTTACTGGGAGAAAGGTAATGGACAGTGAGTCTTCATCTAGAAAGTGCTTTTATCAGGATATCCTTGGTTATTATTGTAAATAAATCTGGAATTAATGGATCTATGGAAGGTTGGGGAGGAGAACATTACACACCCATGTAATTAAGAGGATATAAATTTTGAAGGTGTTCCACACCAAAATTTATCTGCAATATTTGTCATGTAAGATGTATAATCAATAGAATAATTTAAAGCTGTCCCATAACCAAAATGGCTTCCTCTGCTCAAGCAACACTATGCATGCATTGCTTAGAAGTCTGCATGTTAAATATAAACTAGGACATGTGCTAATTTGGAATAGAAGGACTTTTTTAGGGTGCTGCACTGTTTCATACCTCTTGAAGGGAAGAATGCGGAGCATGTGCTTTGCTATAGCCCATATCCTCTGACTATTAGTAAATTTAGGAATGAATCAGATCTGTAACTTGTGTTGAGTTCAATTTAACACTCTGACAAATATGTTACCTCATCTCTTCTCATTTTCCTTTTCATATTTTTCAACTGTTGACTCAGGCATTTAAAAACTCATCTTTTCTCCTAATTCTACTAACAGTTTATAAAATAAATAATAAAATAAATATAAATAATAAAAAAAAGACATTTGAAATACAGAATGAACTCCAGCAATTACCAATGAAGAAAAGCACACTAAATAATATTGGTTTCATATTCTTCTTGAAATCTCATTCTAGCCATTTATTTCAAAAATGCCTAGAACTTGGAAACAATGAAATCAAATAAAACTTGGAACCTGGATAGATAACTACACTAACTGCTTCCTTACAGCGCTGTTCCCTTTCAACTTCTTTTGCTGGACTGAATGACTTACAAGATTTACTGTGAAAAAATTTTCTGCAGTATACATGTGACCTAGGAGTTTTAATTTCTTAGTACATAATACAGTGAGTAGGTTATTACTTTTCTATGTAGACTTTTAAAAGAAAACACCTTAATATTAACTGCATTTTATTATAGTTATGTATTTAATTAATATCACAAAAAGTTCTATTATGAAGGCTAGCCTGAAAAATGCCTATTCCTTTTTTAATACAAACATATAAATATGTTAATTTTGAAAAGTTTTATAAAGTAGAGTACATTTAATAGATGGGAAATTATATATTCCTTCTTCATATAATATTAATTTATTAAAATACACATTAATAAAACAATAACTCGATATATTTATGTATATGTAGATAGATAGATGTGTGTATGTGTATTTGCATTATAATTTCCTGGCATTTTAGAATATATTGCTTTCTGTGATCCTTGCGACAATTTTCAGCTTTGTATTGACCCTCACCTTCTTGATTCCTGTTTAGATCTCATGAATATGTATGTAATAATTTGGGTATTGGAGATCAAAGTAGCTTAGGGAAACCTTTACTTAGTCACTTCATTCTGAAAAAGGGAAAATTTTCTACATGTCTTCTGTGGAAGATCTCAATCCCCTTCCACAAAAGTAGATTTGATAATCTTAGTTCTACTCGTAACAACGTCATCCTAGGTCTGAAAAGTCTTACCAGATCCTGAGGTTTTTTGTTGTTGTTGTTTGTTTTTAAACCAAGTTTACAGCCTCCTTTCTGCCTACCATACAGAGGCAGGGGACAGTTCCAAGGCTGAGCTGGAATGACTAGAGTATGATTTATTTCAGACTTTTTGATTTATCTCAAGCCTATTTTTTCTGAAGTACCTACTGGTATGCTTCTACCTAATGCTTCTACCTCCCCACTGTGCCACAGTTCCCTTCTCCTAAGGATTCCTTGCAGTGGGTACCTAGGCTCAGACAAGGACCTGCTCCTCAGGACATGCATCTCTGGGTGGCAGGGCCAAGGTCCTTCTGTTCTTCAGTCCAGTGTCCTTCCTATGCAGCTGTAGTTAAAACTACCCAGGAGTCAGCCAGCTAAATAGCAAAGGGCATGTAAGCTGAGGGCTGCTCCTAATTTTCACTTCCCTCTCTTGTTCTTTTGATCACTGCAGTCCTCAAAGTCCTCAAGAGAAAGACACACAGGAAGAAAGGAAGAAACAAAAGGGCTGATGGGAAAAAAACTACAAGGGCTAAACCTCAAATCAGTTTTGAAATCAATCAGTAGTGTTACCAATCGGTCTCCTAAGTGGAGGTTTTAACTTTGGTTTACACTCAGGGCTGGAGGTGATCTGTGGCTATCTTTCCACTGTTTTCCCCCGTGACAAAGAAGGAGTCAACCAAAACCAGTTGTATTTAATGGTGGTACCATTGCCACTTATATATGGTTTCCCCTCCAGTTCTTCAGAATGAATTTCATTTCTTCATAATGGTGAAAATTTGTATCATTTTCAGATTTTATAAACAGGACATTTATAGGACAGTGAAATAAGGAATTAAATTAGACAGGGGAAAACGTATCCTCAGGCAAGACAGCTGTAAGTATTTCTTGGACAAAGAAAATGCGTGGGATTGGACGCTCTTCCTTATCTATTTTGAAAATATTTGATTATGAGCATTTATTTCATCAAGCAGGATGACAGGATCCCTGGGAGTTAAGCTCATAAAAGTTCTTGAAACCTTCTTCGTGATAATTTCAATTACAGTCCCTAATGTCATTTAACTAAGAAGAAAAAAGTACGAGAAATGAGATTTGACCAGAAGTAACAAATGATTACAGAAAGAAAGGAGACGTTTATGCACAAATGGATTTTTGGCAGAGTCATTGTATGTTAAGGAAATCACGGAGCATTAACTATTCTATGACAGAAATCTTGACAAGGTGTGTTGGTAAAATAGCCTCTCTAAAGATATACGCTGAGAACAAAATTCATTTTCTTAAGGAACAAGTATTTAACGAGGATCCACTATCACTTATCAGTATTTGCTGCTGTAGACACTGATAATGGTCAATATTTTCAGAGGAAAATATCACTAATGACCTATAATTTCGACCTTCAGGAAAAGTCCACGAAACAGATTAGGTAACCTTCTCCTGTGGTGGCGTTTGACATTTTACAAAAGCCCAGGTAATCAGATGGAGTGAAAGTACACTGATACGTGAAAGAAAGAATCATTTGGGTTTGCTTCTGATTCTACAGGTTCATTAGATTATCCAAGTTAATATGGAAGAAACCAGTTACACGTATTTTTAAATGGCAAAGCAAGAAAAGTTAGTGATCATTAAACTCATGATTTGAAATGTTTCCATTTCTCTGCCAGTCTCAAAATGGTGCTTTATTTATATTCAAGCCCAAGATCAGGAGAAAATTACTTCTAATATTGCCATCATGGAGTTCAACAAAGATGTGGTTATTTTTCAGTCATTAGGTCATTTAATAAAGCTGATGCAAATATTTCAAAAACCTGAAATCATATGGGAAATGTTCTCAAAATTATTGAATTCATATAAAGCATGCTATTTTTATTCTAACTAGAAAAGGACAAACATAACGGTGTTTCCTCCAAAATTCTTTCTAGATCTTGGGGCACCTGGGTGGCTCAGTTGTTAAGTGTCTGCCTTTGGCTCAGGTCATGATCCCAGGGTCCTGGGATCGAGCCCCGCATCGGGCTCCCTGCTCCATGGGAAGCCTGCTTCTCCCTCTCCCTCTCCCTGATGCTTGTGTTCCCTCTCTCGCTGTGTCTCTGTCAAATAAATAAATAAAATCTTTTTCTAAAAAGTTGTCCTCTAGGGGCTCCTGGGTGGCTCAGTCGTTAAGCTTCTGCCTTCGGCTCAGGTCATGATCCCAGGGTCCTGGGATCGAGCCCCGTATAGGGCTCCCTGCTCAGCGGGAAGCCTGCTTCTCCCTCTCCCGTTCCCCCTGCTTGTGTTCCCTCTCTCATTGTGTCTCTGTCAAATAAATAAATAAAATCTTTAAAAAAAAAAAAATCTTTCTAGATCTTAACGCTGTCTTTCCTTTAGCTTTGGTAATTCTGACTTAAATCACGCTGTAAAATTGTAATTAATATGCTAAATAAAGTTTGTTCTATTTTTAAATTAAGATATAATTGACATATTAGTTTCAGGTGTACAATATAGTGATTCGATATTTGCATATATTATGAGATAATCAACAAAATAAGTCTAGTAGCATCGATCACCACACAGTTACAAAAATATTTTTCTGGTGATGAGGACTTTTAAGATTACTCTCAGCTACTTCCAAATGTGCGATGCAGCATTATTAACTATAGTCACCATGCTGTATGTTATATCCCTGTGACAATTATTTAAAGCTGAAAGTTTGTACCTTTTGACCCCCTTTACCCATTTGGCACACCCCACCCCACCCCCAGCTCCTGTTTCTGGCAAACACCAATTTGTGCTCTAAATAAACTTTAGATTACCAAATGTTTGAACATATCCAGATGCTCTTAGGATGACAATCTACTTTTTGATCTGATCTTTCGCCTTTCATATAATGTAGGAGAACTGATCTGGCGGGCTGGGGGGAATCTAAAAACAATTTGCAGATGTCAGGTTGGATGCCTTTGATTTCAGAATCTCAATATCAATCACAGTCTAGATAAAATCTAGCTCACCACTACTCTGGGCTTGCTCACCTCTTCCCATCCTCTCACCCTGGCAGGCATCACCCCAAGTCACGGTTTCCATTTATATTTAAGACCAAGCAACACAATTTAAGCCTAATTATCTGATGTTAATCCACAGAGTGCTTTGCATTTAAAGCATATACCTTCTTCATTTTCAAAGCTGGCCTCCAACCAAACATAACTGGTTGGGCCACTTTCCCTCTGTAATTTATAATTCCTTTTGGCAAGTAACTTCTCTAAGAGATGTGAAACCAACAGGAGCATAGCCTAACCTTGATGAAGATGCTTCATGCAGTTTGATGCTAGTGCTCCGGTCCCTCCGTACTGGGGCAGGCTCCAAAGTGGGTAGGCCTGTGGCTGAGGTGGTGGTTGTCCAAGTTGATGAAACCCGTCTCAACAAACCAGGAGGCAAACTCCTTCTCAGGCGCTAGGAAGGAGGAGTGTTGATTTTATCACCAAGCATATTTTTGATCACTCATTATAAAATACAATGGAAGAAAATGGGTTTTTAATTGGAAGTGAATTTATTAAACCATATTGGCTGAATATTACCTGTCTGAAAAGTGGGTGCTCAGGAGTTCAATAAAAGAATATTATAAAATTAACATTTGGGGATCTTCATTTACATGATGATTGTAATATGGAATTATAGGAATGAAAGTCACTTACCTTTGGGAGAACCTTTGGGAAAACTTAAAACTTTATCAGTTCAATGGGATATACACGCTTATCCATGTATTATATTAGTTATTATGAGCAAAAGTTTTCCCTCAAAGTCATCTGTTTGGGGCATGGATTGATTTTTATCATCTTGCAAAACAGTCTCCATACCAAAGTGTTTATTAATATAATTTTAATTTCTTGATTTGCAAAAGGCAGGAGCTGAATCTAAGAGTGTAACTCACAAAATGCACCACTTTTCTTGTGGCTAGCAAGACTTAGACATCAGGCATAAGGGTAATATCATCAGTACCAACTCTTCTTAACAGAAGAGTCTGCTGGTTGACCTGCAACCCTCTCATTACTATTTCTTCTCCTATGATATCCCAAACAGGATATGTGGCATCAATGTTAGAGAGGCAAGATTCTGAGCTTACCAGGATGAACACCAGCCCTCTAAAGAGGGTCTTCACCTTAAAAATTAAAGTGAAGGTATTCTTCTGATACAACTACAGCAATATGGTTATAATAAGTAGAAGCTCAATCCATTTTTATTTGTGGCTAGCTATTCCTAGCAGACCAATCATGTAGACATTCTTTTCAAAGATGCATCCTGGCCTCCTGAAGATAACAAAAGCTTTTGAGAAGTATATGGCACCTTGAGGTTCAAGAATAGCTCAGATACTAGTTTCCCGTATTTCTTAAAGATCTGAATATGCATCTTTGAAAGTAATTCAATAGTAAGAGAAAAGGTCAAGCACTGTAAATACCAGGACTGATGCCTGAAACTCTCACTAACTTCATGTCTATTTTGAGGCTGAATGGAACCAGTTAATCTCTCTCCATTCCTTGACTGTCACATCATGCTTAGCCATAGCTTTCTCAGAGACTAAGATGTTCAAAAAGAATCATGTAAATACCTAATTGACAAAGTTGTGCGAAACACACATTCCTCAGATAAGAGACTCACAACAGCTAATTCATGGGTGTTACTGACTGACCACCAGCTTGAGAGGACAGATGCCTGTTTACCAAACAGATAACCGTGCAGGATGTGCTGGAGAGGACTTAAATTCTGATTTGTTTTCAGTCTTTAAAACAACCCGTTTTCAATTAATGCAAGGTCTAAGCTGGGTATAGGATCCCATTTCCTACAGCTTACATTTGTAAAACTCTTATATCTTACACATAAAAAGAAGGAATTTACAAATCACTAAGGCCATCTTTTACTTTAAGCAATCCAAAATCAATTAAAACTGTTTGAGTTCAAAACTTCTTGGATTTGGGAAAGCCAGGAGGGCACTGTGAATGATATCACACAAAGAAACCATGAGCAGCGGATCTCTGGATTTCAGAGGGCAAGGGATTTTAAAAAGAACCCACACTAGAATGGGAGCAGGGACTTTTGCCTGCCCCCCGCCCCTCACTGCTAAATCCCTATCCCACAAAACAGAGCCTGACATATAGACATAAAAACTTCTTCAAAGTCGGAATTAAAAAAAGGTAAAACTTTCATTTACAGAAAGCTATGTTTAAGTCTTTATGTTTAAATTATTACTTTGATCACCATGATCAACACATCTTCACTGAGTCACTGACATGACTCTGCATCTGGGTTTGAGGGTAACAAGAAACAGACCTAGAAGGCAAAAGAAAAGATTTAACCTTTGCAGGGATAGGTCATTAATACCTACCTTGGGAATAGCCAGCTTGTCTTTTTCAGAGCTTTCCTCAGAATCAGAACAGGTGTAATTTTCACTGAAGGAAACAACAGGATTCATGCGGGGCTTGTGAATAGCCTGGAAGGTGAGCTGGGTGTTGAGCAGGTTGCTCACTGCCCTCAAGGATGTGCACACGTTGGGGGGCAGTGAAGGGTCTGCCAGGAGGTCGGTAATGAGGCCATGAGCCTCACCCATCACGGCAATATCCACAGTAATACTGGTTCCTGAAGACTGAGACACCAAACAGAGGAACAAGTGAGAAAAGGCCTGAAGCTGAGGCACACACACTAAAATGGGGCTCTTTCCAAAAAATGGGCTGATTGACTCTTTCAGGTTGTAGTAAAGGAACATTCAAATCACATTTCTGTTTCAAATTTTGCCAAAATTTGCCATGGCTTTTGCCATTTTTGTGTTCCTGGAATGTTTTTTTGATGTTAGAACTTGGAGAGGGGTAGGACATATTTGAAGAAATTAAAAAGATAAACACTAGTTTTTGGAAGTCAAGAAGTTGGGGCACCTGGGCAGCTCAGTCAGTTAAGCCTCTGACTCTTGGTTATCAGCTCAGGTCGTGTTCTCAGGGTTGGGAGATGGAGCCCTGCATTTGGCTCCTCGTTCAGTGGGGAGCCTGCTTGAGATTTTCCCTCTCCCTCTGCCCCCACTTGTGCTCTCTCTCTCTCAAATAAATAAATCTTAAAAAAAAAAAAGGCAAGAAGTTTCAGAGAACTGAAAAAAACTATCAGCCACTCCTTATGAAGAGCTCAACATTTTAATGCATATTATTTAGAAATTTCATTCTAAAAGTTTAACATTAATATACTGTAAACTTTTAATTTTAGTAATGTTTTAATGTTTAGTAATTTTTAGTAAAATTTTAAAGTAATTTAAGTCTTTTAAGCCTGGTATATTGTAGTTATTTTTTTTTTTAAGATTTTATTTATTCACCTGAAAGAGAGAGAGAGCACACGAGGGGGAGGGGCAAAGAGAGGGAGAAGCAGACTCCCCGCTGAGCAAGAGCCCAACTTGGGGTCAGTCCCAGGACCCTGGGATCATGACCTGAGCCGAAGGCAGATGCTTAACTGACTGAGCCACCCAGGCACCCCTATGGTAATTACTCTAATATTAGAGATAGGCCCAAAAAGCCTTTGACTTTTGATCAGATTCACATGTTATCCCTCTTCTTGTGGTTGGTAAGAATAGCAATTTTAGTTCTGGTATTTTGTGGCACATCTGTCATATTTTCTAAACTGCCTATCAGACTGACAGTCATTACTCTCTATTTGCTGAAGAAAGGAAAAGCACAAAAAACAGAGGACAGGATTGCTCCCCACTCGGCTGCTCAGGCCAGAATGCCGGCAGGAAGGCATGAGAGCAAGGGAGAGTATGGGCAGAGTCAAGGCCAAGAGGGTAGAAGAAGCTTCAAGACAGCATATAGAAGAACATTAATGCTGGAACATTGCCACAGTATGAGGCATGAGGAATCCACATAACTCCATAACTGCAGTTAGCGATCAGGGTGCAGATGCTGGAACTAGGCTACTTACGTCTAAATCCTGTCTCCTAACCCTACCACTTTCTAGCTGCATGATCTCCGGCAAGTCACTAAGATTCTGTGCTGTGATTTCTGCATCTATAAAGTGGATACAGTAACAGCACCAGCTTCAGAAGGTAATTCTAAGAATTAAATGGGGTAATATACGTAAAGCACTCAATACTGTGTTGACAACTATAAGTGCTCAATACTGATAATGGTATAAATAATAATTACAATTCTGGAGTTTTTCAATAAAAGGCTGTTAGAAGTTTGGCTATGTATTTAGAAGAAAAGTTTAGTCATTCTCTCACAACAGACTTAAAAATAAACTACAGAGAGATGAAAAATTTAAACATATAAGATTATAAACTTATTATAAGAAAATAACGGAGTAAGTTATAACATGGGAATGTTAAAAAATAATATGAATTCATAAACTGTCAATGAAATATATGACAGATCTGACTAAAGGCATAAGCTCCTACATAAGAAAATATACCATAAGCAAAGGAAAAAAAACAGTGAGAAAATATTTGTCTCACAGAGAAGACAAAACATATCCAAATGAAGAGCTTCTAAAAAAAAAAATCAATGAAAGACAAATTTGGATAAAAGGAATGAATAGACAACCTAAACAAAATGTAAATAATCAAATGTATAAAAAGCTACTTGCCTGCCTAATATTTAAAATACAAATTAATATAATGAAAACTTTTACTCATCAAAGTGGCAAAATAATAAAGGATTGATAGCACCAAGTATTAGTAATAGTTTGGGTAAGTGAGCAGTGAGTCAAAATAACCCAGTGTTTGTGAAAGGGCATTTTTCTGAGTCTATCAATTTGTCACTTAAATGTATATACTCTATGATCCAGGAAAACAATGTTGACAGACATGTAAAGAAAAACTGCAAGATGTAAAAATATGAGGACAAAGACATAAAGAGCAATAGCTCTCTGACAACAACCAGAGAACTCAGCCATAAATGCACATCGATAGAAAAAATGATACAAAGAAAGTTGTAGTATAACTATATTATAAGGTGGTATATAGTTTTTTAAAAGATTTGGGTAGATCTATAAACGATTACTTGAAAAAACACATATTGTTCACTGGTGGGGAAAAATATGCCATCAAAAAAGTGAGTATGTATTATTTTCTATAATTGGAAAAATATAAAAATTATGAAAACACCCAAAATACACAAAGATATATAGCCTTAGACCACTATAAGTAATGGATAAATTTTTCTGTAAAGATATGATATGGAACAGTTATGTCTTTTACCATGGAATAATAATAGTAACCATCATAATCACAGTGACAGCAACATTTGCTCAGCACAAGTCTACAAAGTACTTCATTTACTAACTTCAGTTTTATTAGTAAAAGATAACCTGCCAGAATCCTAATCAGATAGCTGGAATAGGGAAACATCAGACCGCAAACAAATACTCTGGTTCTAGAGCTTAAGTGCTGAGCCAGTACACCAAAATAAGATAAAAAATTCTTTTTTATCTTATGTTCCTAAATATATCTGTAATTATTTAATGCTTTATGTGCTCTCTGTGCCATGCTCTTCCCTGTTTAGATGCCTAAATATCTATTATGGACCGACATAAAAATTCAAGTGTAATGTTAATAGTTTTCGGATACACAATCATGCATACTTCACCTATGTACCTACATTGTCAACTTCAAAAATGTTCATGAGAAATGCCACCAAACTAAGTTAACATTCCCTTTTGGAAACACGTATTTTCAATTGCACCCCTAATTATGATGCTTCTAAAAAATTCACTCAGCGTGACCCTCTGAAAGAGTAATATTTATTCCTATCCATCCACTTAAAAAATGACAATTTAAGTCAAACTGTTTTTAGGACATAACTTTTTCAGACTTTCTGACAGTGACATCAACAGCTTATGTTCCAATAATTAATAATTAAAGAGGCTTTCTCAAAATGTTCTTGCTATACAAAATTTACAAACCTAGTAGAGCATGTTCACTGATAATCTGAATGAAAACTTTTAATGAATTATTGGTGAGAGAACAAGTCTTTTTTATAATACTCTAATTTTATGATTTTTAAATAACATTTTCTTTTTTAAGTACTAGATGCATTTCTGATATACTCAGAAAAAACAAATATTAAAAATTTTTAAAGGAACTTTAAAATGCAAACAGAACTGAAAACTCAATCTCCTAAGTCATTGTTAGTGCTATGTAAGAATTTAGAAAAGAAGCACATTATGTATTTTAATGCTATTTATGCCAGAGCTTTGGCCAAGGCAAAGGTCTTCAAGCAAAAACAAAGCAATATTCATGCCAGTAAGAAGTAAATGATCCATACTGGAATTGGCTAAGAAACCAAAGTGGACATTTTTACTATTGAAAAAGTATACTTTAACGAGGTATACTTAATACGGGAATGAAATCAGGTCTTTGCTATACTGGCTTTCTGATTCAAGACTAGAACTGTACAACGGTCAAAAGTTGCATCACACATAGAAGTTATCACCACTTTTTGGCTCAAATAACTAAAGGCTTCAATGAGGCATAAAATCTAAAACCAACAATCAGATTTGCTTGCCACAAAATTGCCAAGACTAACCACACATGACAGATGGGCCCCTATTTCAATAAGCAGCAGTCAAGTTATAAAGACACAGGAGAGTCCAAGGAGTAACTATTAAGGAATTTTAGGGGAGAAGGGCTTTGGTTGATAGCAGAGTTTTTTCCTCAGATGATACAAAATACGAAAAAGAGTGACTCACACGGAGGGTATTGCCATACCCTATCCAACTTTGAAAATAATGTAACTAAATTTCTAAGTATACCAATAAATACTCAGAAATATTCCATTTAACTGGTGAAATCTTAGTGAATACATAGTAAAGGTTAAGTTTATATGAAAGCCACTTTAAAGGAAAGTCTTACGCTAACAGCCTGAAATCATCTTTGAGTGCAGTAATGAACTATACTAAAGCATAAAACCACAGTTGAGTCTTTTTATGGTAGAGCTAAAACAAATCTTTTCCTTTTTTTTTTTTTTAAAGGGACCAAGCAATATAAGACATTCTACTTTGCAAGCTCTCCTTATAATATTTATATTTAACGTTTAAGAAGATGCAAGTATAATTCCCTGAACATTATTTAAATGACAACCAAATTTGGATCGCTACCTTTAAATAGAAAATCTGGAATTTAAGTCTGATAGACAGTGAGGAAAGTGTGGTTTTATATGTTAAACCAAAAATAACTGATTCCCTTGGTAAATCCACCACTTTTCAAAGCGCCCAGTTTTTAAAATATTTTCCCTTCTCCCCATTATCTCCGTCCAGTCTACTTTACCATCTCTAGGATGTGAATACATAGATGCCTTGCTATATAATATGATCTAGTTGCTTCCAAGTTACTTTACTCATTGTAAACCAAAGGCCGGGAAAATCTGGAGTTATACATAAGAAGTTAAAGAAATAATAACAAATACACTTATAAACACCATTAAACATAACTCCTAGAATACGCATGTATTAACTCAATTATAGGAAATTTGTTTTCACTCTTACTACTGCTGTGCTAAAACTCTGAAATTACACTATTAGTATGATAAAAGGGAAAGCTTTGAATATGTGTAGTGGTCAGAAAGGATGTGCCCTTTGTGAAGGGCACCCAAGCTTCTAAATTACCCTCAGAGG